TGTTCAGATACAGCCACATAGTTCTCATGTGGCAAATCTCCAGAATGGATAGCACACTTGTGGCCCTGTGGTCCACACACACCAACTGGAAAACTCAGGTTGTTCTCTTGCACAACAACCTCCCCAAAAGGTATGGTACTTGGCTGTTGGTAAGGCTGGAAATGTACGTTTTTTAGAGAGAGAGAGATTTCCCACGGTTGTATCAGCTCCCGAACACCTCTCAGTAACTGACTTTTATTGGGCCCACTGGGATATCTACCCCACATGTGGATCTGTTCTCTCAGTTGGCCCACCTTTCTCAGCTGCCTGTCTACCAGAGACTGTCCTACCCGAACTGCAGCTGCATTCTCCCTTTTTATTTGTTGCATCTGTTGCTGGGTATCCCTATGTATTTGTTCCACTCTCTCCAGCAGGTAGCGTTCCTCTTTCTGAGCTCCAAGAATAGCAGAATCCAAACCCTGGTTTACTTTGTCCACTTCTGCAGTTTGCCATTCCCTTAGCTGCTGGAGTTCCTGCTCACTCTGTGATAGGTCACATAGTGCTTGTGTTATCCAGGTAGGAAAGGAGCTGAGAGACTGGGAGGAGACCTCATGTTTCTCAAAAACTGAACTGGAAAGACGCACAGGGGTGCTGGACACTGGTTGAGATACAGTTGCTGGAAAGGGCCTCCTGTGGAAGTGTGACCCAAGCAGCATCATTCTAAAGCAGGGGGCTTTCTGAACTTCAGTTTCACTGATGATACCTGTTGGGAAAATTGTAAAATTCTTGTTACAAAATACCACACATATACTGTGTACAGTTTATACATACAACCAAGATTTATTGGAAATACGTGACTCTGCCTATATGTCTGCAAAACCTGAATTATGTCGTTCTGGGTATTTCACTGCACTTTTCATGATATGTCCACAAGAGGCACTATAAGCTACAGTTGTGGTCAAAACGCATATCTGCAAAATGTTAATTATTTTACCAAAATAAGAGGGATCATACAAAATGCATGTTGTTTTTTATTTAGTACTGACCTAAAGATATTTTACATAAAAAACGTTTATATAGTCCACAAGAGAAAAAATTGTGGAATTTATAAAAATGACCAGTTCAAAAGTTTGTTGTTAATACTGTGTTGTTACCTGGATTATTTTTGTTTTTTGGCTTTGTTTTGTGATAGTTGTTCATGAGTCCCTTGTTTGTTCTGAACCGTTAAACTGGTCGCTGTTCTTCAGAAAAATCCTTCAGGTCCAAGAAATTATTTGGTTTTTCCAGCATCTTTTGAACCTGTATTTGAACGCTTTCTAACAATGACTATATGGTTTTGAGATCCATCTTTTCACACTGAGGAAAACTGAGGGGCATATATGCAACTATTACAAAAAGTTCAAATGCTCACTGATGCTCCAGAAGGAAACACGATGCGTTAAGAGCCTGGAGGTGGAATTTCCTTTTTGAATTTGAAGATCAGGGTAAATTGAACTTATTTTGTCTCCTGGGAAACATGTAACTATCTTCTGTAGCTTCTGAAGGGCAGTTCTAAATGAAATATATATATTATAAAAATAAGAATAATGTACACATCTTCATTCTGTTTAAAAGTTTACACCCCTGGCTCTTATTGCATCGTTTTCCCTTATAGACTCTATAAGGAAAAACGATGCATTAAGAGTCAGGGATAATATAGAGCATCAGTGACCATTTGATCCTTTTGTAATAGTTGCGTTCTGAGTCCCTCAGTTGTCCTGAAAAGATGGATCTCAAAATCATACAGTCATTGTTGAAAAGGGTTCAGATACGCAAAAGATGCTGGAAAACCAAATAATTTGTGAGACCTGAAGTATTTTTCTGAATAATAGAGGGTAGTTTAACCGTTCAGGACAAACAAGGGACTCATGAACAACTATCAAACTATCACAAGAAAGAAAAAAAAACAGTTGTGGATGATCCAGGTAACAACACAGTATTAAGAATCAACCGTTTGTAAATTTTGAACAAGGTCATTTTTAAAAATTCAACTATTATTTTCTCTTGTGGACTATATGTAAATGTATTTTATGTGAAATATTTAATTTTAGGTCAGTACTAAATAAAACAATAACATGCATTTTGTAAATTATTTTGGTAAAATAATTAACATTTTGCAGATGCTGCAGTGTATGTAAAATTTTGACCACAACTGTATATCATTTATTCTCCTTTGCAGATGTGGGTTTATTATACAACACAGCATCATAAAAATATGTGCCTGTTAGTACAAAATGGTTGCAAAATTATACTGCATTGCTTGTAATGTTTCACGTGCAAATTTACTACATCAGAAAATCTATGCATATGGAATGTGTAATGTGATGCAGAAATCAAAATGTGCTTACAAATCATGCACTATGGTAAAGAGTGTTTTGAGCTCATAACATAGTACTGTGCCAGGAACCATGCAAAAATATGACTTTATTTTTTGATAATGTGCCCCATAATCACAATTTGTGGAAACAGAAATTTGGTATTTGGTGTTTTACTGCCACTAGTGTTTATTTCAACTGGAAACTGCAGTGAAATGTTTGTATAGGCACATTTTGCAATTTTGTAATCCTCTCATAGTGATACAAATAAGTTATTGTATGCCTTGGTTGCTTCGTTCCTTGATGGAGAGGTCATCACTTTGTAATACAGTCCTTTGTAGTGTCTTTTTTTAGCAGAACACTAGCCTTCTGTTGAGTCACACACATTTTACTGATAACCACTGGGGGCAACTGAGAACTAGGACAGTCTCACAAAAGCCTTTAGCCTCCTGAGTTTGACAACTGATACCACGGGCATTGACTGACATGGTAACATTTTGTGCGTTTATGGTCTCTGCAATGTCTATGAAATTTGAATGCAGGACTTTCAGATATAATTTATGTTAATGGTCATGGAAACTCACACATTATCAGCCTAGTGCATTTACCCTGTCTGGCAAAAACAGGAGTATTACAGCAATGAAAGGTGAAAAGTATCGAATTTACAGTGGCATTTTAGTAAAAAAAAAAAAAAAAACTCTTCTTGGAAATTTCTGACCCCAGTAACTGAATGAAGGACTATCCCTCAGTTCATAAACTGACCTAAATATTATTTTATGTTTTATGTATCTGTAATCTAGAACAGATTAGATATATTACACAAACAAGTGAAACGATCAAAGTGACATACTCTGCAACAGGTCACAACGACAAAAACACATAGGAACAAAATTGCTTGATTATTGACCAGTGCAATAAAGGACAAAAGAGACTTAAAAATCCAAATCCTTTGTGTGTGTGTGTGGTCACTTGGGCCCTATCATGTTCATTCACATTAAAGATGAATGAGGGCTCAGGTTGCTAACCTACTAAAGCTGTTGCATAGCATTAGTGACCAGAAATGTGAAATAAACATCTGTATAATTTTTAAAAAATTCTGATTTTAAAAAGAGACTAGTGGATTTAAAAGGAATAAATGTTAGGAGAAAACATATAATATAGGTTGTTTGTAAGATGCTAACTGCTGTGTATTATACAATTTTTAAAGTTATATTGAAAAAGGCTTTACATCATTGTACATATACACCATGTATGTTTTAACATTCTTAATCCAAAAAGAGAAATAAATTAAATTTTCAATACATAAATTCATTAATAAATGGGCAATAATATAACAATATATAACAATATAACAATAAAAAAATTGTTTTTATCAAAAGTATCTTCATGTTTTTTTTAAGTTTTTTTTTTTAAAGATGCAGTAAGAAAGAGAGATCAACATCCTACCTGAGTACAGGTGTCTCATGTTCTGTGTTTACACAGAGAGCCCCTCCTTCATTTTTTTCCAATCTCCCTTTTTCCATTGGCTCATGCACTCTCCTCCTACATTCTTGTGAAGACTTCTCTGCATGTAGCCTACACCTGAAGCAGGTCGTTTCCTCAGAGGAGGCAAGGGAGGCAGTGCCTCCTTTAAAGGGGTCATATGATGCGATTTCAAGTTTTCCTTTCTCTTTGGAGTGTTACAAGCTCTTGGTGCATAAAGAAGATCTGTAAAGCGGACTCCCGTGCCGCCAGAGTCGCGAGCTGCCGGACACGCAGTCCGGACGAGAACCGCACCCGTTACACGGCCGTTGGGCAAGATAATCCACAGTACAAAAATAACACGCATATTATGAAACTTGACATTTAAAAAAGTGAATAAATAATTGTCTACAGTGACACTGTCCAACAGTAGGGGTGCTCCGACTGATCGGCTACCGATCACTATCGGCCGATAATCGCGTTGGGATGATTGATCGGCGGTCTCTAAAAAGGCCGATCTCAAAAAAACGATCTCAAGCTGATGACGCACCTGCCGTGAGAGGTTTGGCTCAACATGCAGCGGCGCCGTCTCAGTCTCAGTCTCTGTCCGGCGCTGGTGAAATAATTATAATGCTTTAGGTGAGGTACAATTCATATTTCTTCATTAAATAACTTATAATGTAATTTGAAAAAGTTTCTGTGAGACATAATTTCACAAACAGTGTGAGTGAATCACCGCACGGGCTCTCTTTCTCTCTCAAAATGCAAATAGCTTAAAATTACATCGCGTCTGCTCTATAAGTGAGCTGCACGCTGCACAGTTGATACACGAATTGTCACTTGCACTATCGAGGCAGTGTCGCATGATCGTCACTAAAGTTTATAAATTGCATTTTTTCTTTTTAATTCTTGTCAGTGTTTAAACCATTCAACGCTTTCCTGGAGACCGTGTGCTCATGCACACACGCAGCGCTCACACACATAACGCCAGGTTCACATTACTTTGTTTGCAGTGCGTATGTGGTGCATATTTTTTCCGCGCTCATGTTAACGGATTAAAGCGTTCACACTGCACACTGTTGCGGTCCGGCAGTGCGTTTAAGGAGCGGCGCGTCTGCAGCAGTGCAGAGATGTTTCCACACCTAGTCTATTTTTGCTGCGCTGCACGCGCTGAATTAAAGTAACAGCCCATTGTTTGCAGTAAATATGAACATGCATTGACACAAAAATGTAGTAATTACACCATAAATGCATATAATTAAAGTCTGCTGTCTTTCACAGTCAACATAGGCTATAGACTTGTTCGGTGTCGCGTCATAGCTGTGTGGGCGGAGTCGGCGTGGGGGAAAATAGTCCTTACCCCTCATTGGAAAAGCATGGTGTTGACTCAGAATGGCCTACATAAAATTATTTCTGCCGCTCGACAGAGCAACATACGCATAAAAACTGAGCCGTATTGGGTCGGACTGTCCGTACGGTATCTGTGACTGGACAACCGACCCAACGGAATGGCCAGAGGTGTCGTTTCCCAACATTTTTTGTTACCTAATTGAGCAAGAGACAGCTTAGGCTACTACAAGCCGAGACGGCTTGTGAAAGTAAACATTTGTCCTTTTGTTTTGCTTAATTTTAATAAAGTGAAAGACTTGAGTAAAAGCCTGTCGTACTTTCTTATTGATATATTAAAAAGTTTTTTTTAACATTGACAAAACAGGTATAGAGGTCTGCACGGGCTTTAAACTGAAGCCCGAGCCCGGCCCGTACCCGAGATCGTTTGACGCAGCCCGACCCGACCCGTTAAATTTACAGCCCGAAACCCGACCCGAACCCGAAATAGGTCTCTCACAACATATAACGTTTTGCAAGACGCTGTATTTCAAGATTACATGCAACCGCCAGTAAACAAATACGTGTAAAGCAACAGTTTCATCAAGGCACAGAGGCACAAGAGCAAAACAGAAAAACCACGTACTTACCAATTATGAAACGCTGCTGGGTGAGCACAGGTGCGACGATCACAAATTAAATTTGAATCTCGAACTTATAACTTCAAAAAAAAAAAAGAGTTTGCGGAAAGTGTTGCAGAACTATTTACACAAATTGATCCTTTTCAGTATGCGTTGTAAAGGAAGAGAACGGCATCGACAGTTGATGGTTTCAGCGCCGTCCTCCTCTGATTAAAAGTTAGTCCAGCAGCACTGAAGTTTCTCTCGCTGCTGCTACTACTTGCAGGGATGCTGAGTATACTACGGGCCATTCTTGACAGTAACGGGAAAACGCCGCTGTTGTTTTTCCACCAACCCAACTGATCCCGCTCCTCTTTCATGTCGTGGTTGCGGCTGATGTATTGCTGAACTTCATCAACCGTTTCATTCAGGGGCACGTTTACCCACTCCTCAAACTCTGCCACTACAGTCTTGCTTCTTTTACTTGCTGGTTCAACAGAGGTCGATAAAGCCTCTTCCAGCAACAGTATGAAATGACCTAATATCGCGACAATAGAACTCCACACATTTTTCTGTGAGACTGGATTTTACAGAAGCAGATACTGACTTAGCTGGTGGAGATAAATAGTCCGAAACCGATGTCTGTTTGTAGCTACTAGCTGCTGCTGTTGAACTAGTGCATCCACGGTCAGTGTGTCGCTGTAAAGAAGATGTACCTGTCTTCTTACTGTCGTAGGCCAAGACAGCTTTGCAAGCCCTACACTGCACATAGCCGCTGAGCTCTTTATTGCTTGTAAGGACAAGATCGTAATTCCTCCATATTTCAGCTTTTCCTGCATTGTTTGGCACCGTAATTAGTTTCCCCTCACTAATTTTTTGCTTTATCGCACTCATTTAGTCTGTGGTGTTATGAGAGAAAAAGCGCGCGAGATCAGGAGCACGTGCGCAAAAGTTATACACAAGTTAAAAAAATGTTTTATATATATATATATATATATATA